AAATGAATGGTTCTTTTCTGAAAAAACATCTCAGGTTGACGAAGGAAGAGAAAGAGGGAAGAGTTGGGGGTGGGGAAAAAAGATCAGCCTTATCCTGTCATCCATGTCCAATTCCAGTTGGGGTGGGAGGAGATGATTTGTTTTTGGAGTCATCGAATTTGGATTTGTCCGACTAATTTCAAAGTATTTGTGTATATGCATTTTATTATTAAAAATAAAATATTAAGTGCATATATTGATGGATATAAATTATGATAAAATATGATAAAACCCGAGCCAAGTTGAATTAATGCTTAATGCTTGGACAATTGAGTTGATATTAATTAAGTTAAAGACAGTTACTAAAAATCAAATCAAATAAAATAAGAGAATTAAGCATAATATTAAACTACAATAGAAGTAAGTATTACCAAATTAAACTTGAAGGGTAGTTTGTTTTTTTAATCTTTTGGCTATAATGATTTTCTAGAAAAATAACTTAAGTTGAGTGATTTTATAAAAGAAAATTCATAAGTTGAGTGACTTTATTGATATAAAATCAAGTTGAATGACTTTCTCAAATAATTTTACATACTTGAGTGACCTTTTAAGATATTTACTCAATTATTGACAACCTTATGGGAGTTTGATTGCCACAAGTCTATCAATAGGTGTATGATAATGTTTAAACTTGGTTACTTCAAGAATTACTAAGTTGATACTTAATAAAAATGAAGACGTAAAATGAATTCTCTATTTCAAAGCTAACGGATTAGCCTACAAGGTAGGTTGGAATTACTATATAACTATGTGAAAAATTATGTGGTTTTCCATTCTTACGGGAAAATGTCTGAACTTACTATAGAATCCATCTAAAAAGATAACAATGGTTTATTATTCCTATTATTAGAATATAAGTTGAATGTAATATAAAATTATTCATTTACTGTTCAAGAGGGACTATATGTACACAGTTTGACAGTGTTTTGTAAATATTAGATGTCTCAGACTATGCTTGGTTAGCAATATGTTAATATGACAAGTTAAAATTAAGAATAATTTATTCAATGTATTATTCAGAACATTAAATCAAAGACACTCATAATGAGGGAAAAGTGGGAAAAAATGAAAAAAACCTTAAATCATATCGGGGTAACAACTACAGTACAAAATCAATAAAATATGGCCTAATTGGGGTAGATTACTCCCGCGCTTCGCGCAGATAATTTACCTAATTTTATTAATAGAGCTACATTTACAACAAAAATTCTTTAGATGCCAATTTATGAGGAGTAATTGTTTATCCATGTGAGGAAAATCTTTTTGCAGATATTGGATATGTGCTGAGCACAGGTCATGACCCTCCTAATATATATACATAATATTCAAAACAGCATATGATCAAATAGATACTTTGATTTTCATTTTACACAACACCATACATAACCCTTTACAAAATTACCTTCGAAAGCTTTTTTCACCGTTAATATCATCATTCTTCTCAAAATGTGACAGCATCTAATTTAAGTTTTGGGTGAACCAATCTCAATCATAAGATTGATGTAAGTATTCTCAATAAAATTAATGGTCTAAATTCAAATTATAATAAAAGACCTTAAAAATATACACATGCACAGAATTGTCTTTTTTTTTTTTTTACCTACAGTAAAATATTCTAAAAAGACATTAAGCATTTAATTACATAGCAATATTATTATTTATAAAAGTAAAGGTTAATTATAGTTAATAAGATGTTAGCCATTTATTTGAAATGCATTACCTTAAATGTTATTAAAAACTTTGTTCATTAATATGAAGATTTCAGTAATTTAATTCAAAGTTCTAGAATATTTCTAATTAAAAAAAATAGACCATTCTTCTTTCTTTCCTTCATTATATAAATTTTGTATTTTTTTTATAAAATTCAATATCCTTTCAAGTTTCAAGTAAACCTAAAATAATGAAATTCACTATTAAAATTCCTCTTAATTCTGATGAGTTTCTCCACCAGTGTTACTAGTACATTCACTTCTTTGAAAGACGTGAGGATTTTATTTTTGATACTTATATTTTATTTTTCGACATATGAAATATCATTTATATACCATTTATCTTTATTAAAACTTTACATGATCTTAAATATCAATATACTATTCGACGCATCAATTATTTTTTATGCGCCACTTTATCTTATTGATGAAGAATCGACTCAAATTTCAACGAGGAGAGCAGAGGGATTTGTGCCTATGACGTAAAGAATCGTCAAAATTCAAAGGTTACAGATGGCTGTGCCGCTGGGTATCTTGCTGCCACGTGCCATATTGTAGACTTAAAAGAAGTAAAATTAAAATGATAAATTATATTGCTTCTATTTTATGTTACGTGGCACTTTTTTTTTACAAAAAAAATCCATTCCAAAAGTATATCATCTTATTAATTTTAAAATTAAATGATTTATACGACATAAATATTTAAAAATGATTTTAAATTATAAATTTCAAAAGAGTCTTTTATACTGCATAAAGTTAAAATGAAATAAGATATCATGAGTAATAAATAATAAATATCTTCTTTGTTTCTAGGGATAAGGGTCTGAAAATATCCCAACTTTGATCGGATTTACGGTTGCGATACTAAACTTTCATGAGGACCTATTACCTTCCTAGATTATTTAATACCGTATTTTAAACATATATATTTGTCCACGTGGACATAAAAAATAATGCAAGATTATAAATAGTAATGTGCCCACGTGTGCACATATATACCTTTAAAATACACTATTAAATAGTTCAGGGGGTAAAAAATACAGTATTAAATAATCTAGAGAGGTAAAAGGTCCTTATGAAAGTTTGTATCGCAACAGCAAATCCGACCAAAGTTGGGGTATTTTTCAGACCCTTATCCATTGTTTCTATTTATATGTCGTCTTTACTAAAACTAGACGGTCCTTAATATTTGTCATTTCACAAAATCAATACATAAATAATACTATTCTTCCTATTTTATAACCTTGAAAGTATGAATTTGACCAAAATAGGAAAACTAAGTGATTAATTTAGGAAAAAAGTCTAAAATATATCCGAACTTTAACCGAAATTGTTGTAACAATCCCAAACTTTGGGAAGGACCTTTTACCCCTGCACTATTTAATAGTGTATTTTAAAGGTATATATGTACCCACGTGGACATCATAAATATTGCATCATTATAAATAATAACTTGTCCACGTGGGCTCATATATACCTTTAAAATACACTATTTGATAGTGCATGGGTAATAGGTCCTACTCAAAGTTTAAGATTGTTACAGTAATTTCGGTCAAAGTTCGCATATATTTCGAACTCTTTCTCATTAATTTATGTTCAATGGTCAATTAATTAAGGAAAAATTACGCGATTAAGCAAACTTATACTATTTAATTAGTCATCATAGCTATAGTTTGTTATAATTACTACTCGCGACTAACAGTAACCATAAATTACGTGGGTTGACTTCGAGTTTGTATAATTAACCATGTTTGTATAATTCGCAACTAACAATTCTTCGTTTGATTTGTATTTGTATACGATGGTTTGTATGTATATGATGATGATTTCCTTTGGTTTTTCAGTTTTATCAGCATATACACTCAATCTTTTTTTTGTATAATTTATTAAAGTTTTTATAAACGTGTAGTTTTTGCATTTTGTATGATATAATTTATATAATGTGATTTGTATAATATAATTTGTATAACTATTTTAAGTTCATATGTTTATGTTTGTATCAATTTGTTATTTCGAGTTTTATCATATTTGTATAATTTCAAACTTTGTATTACTCAATTAGACAAAAACACGCGAATTATACAAGCGTACCCGGAAATTATACAAACGAGATGTGAATTATACAAGCCCCTCTCGCTCTCCTCTCTCCTCCCTCTCCCAATCTCGTTGCAGATATACAAATACATATGTATATCACAGCTGTTACATAAATACAATATTTTGACAAATATACATAATAATTCGCCTCTCTCCACTCTTTGCCCTCTCTTGCTCGCCTCTCTCCTTCCTTTTCCAATCTCGCTTGCCACTCTCCTCCCTATAACATGTAGCTACGAATCGTAATTAGCAAACTATAGCTATGGAGCGTAATTAAGCTATTTTTGAGTGACTATATGTTCACTTATTAAATTAATTTCAAGAGAATACTAAATAAGAATATAATGATATATTTATATAAAATGTGAAATCTAAAATGATGACATATAAATAAAAACGAAGGCAGTAATAATGATGCAAAGTGAGTAAGAAGGGGAAATAAAATGAGAATTTTCATAGTTTGACACCGCCTCTTTATTTTCTCTACCTTCTCCAAGTCCAAGTGGGAACTTTATTATATATATATATATGTTCACTTCTTTAGTATTATTAGTAATCTTGATAAATATATGTATGTATACACACTTGATAGTACTACTTGTGAAGTTACTATAAGACGGCAGCTGACTCCAAAGCTAATTAACTTGTTTCTAATCTCCAATATTTCATTCATTTTCAGGTAATCTTTCCCCTCACATATATATAGTTTCTTTAATGTCATGGTATTGATTTCACTAATCAATATGTACCTGCAATTACTTAACTTCATGTGCTTAATTGTCGCTAAATGTGTATTTTTAGAGGTAATTAACACTCTTTGTAAATGTCTTTAAAGCCTACGTCGGTATTGGATTTGATATCAATTAACTAATGTGGTAAAAACTGTGTATATTTATTACCGCTAAAAGCTAATTTTGTTGTAGTGATTGTTTAGAGGAAAGTGTTTTTCTTGGTACTAATTCATTTCCATTGTTGGATTGGCTCTTTCATCCATATATACCATGTGTATTTATGGCTATAGTATTTATAACAATTCAGGTGCGCGCAAGCTGGCTCCGACACTGCTATCATATTAGTTTGTAACACAAGTTCTTAGGTGATCTTTGGTTCTAAAAATTGATAAAACCTGAGCTGCTGAGTACATAAGAAAGAAGAATGAAATTTGGGAAAGAATTTAAGGATGAAATGGTGCATGAGTGGAGTGAGGCTTATATGGACTATGGTGGGCTTAAACACCTTCTGAAAGATATAAACCACTTCAATACTCATAGAAAAGTAGATATTGAGAATCAAGAAAGTGGAATTGGGAAAATCCAACATAAAAATTCGATGAAGTTATCGAATGGAAAGTTGTTTATACCATCTGAAATGGGACAAAATGAGAAGTCATTTTTCGAAAAATTGGATAATGAACTTGAGAAAGTTAATAGATTTTACAAGGACATAGTGGAAGAGGCAAAGGGAGAAGCAGATGAATTAGCCAAACAAATGGAGGCTTTGATTGCTCTCCGAAAAAAAGTAAAAGAAAAAGATACCAAGGGAGACAAAGCAGCATCCTCAAAGGTTACTTCTCCAAGCAAGGCGTCGAGTGAAGCTGGTATGTACTGCTATCACCTTATCAGTCATTAGTGTTAGTTATGACTTAAGTTTTTATTTTTAGTTAACTTAAATTTTCATGCTTTAGTTGTTACTACTCGAAACATCATTGATAGATGCTTGAAATATGGTTTGCATTTTTGGAGGATCTGAGCAACATAACTAGTCTGCGCATGTTCCATCAAACGTACACTTAAAAGGCTTGTTGATCATGAGTGATTGTCAAATAGAAATGAGAGCCATAATAGAAAATTGTACCCTAATCCTATTGAAAATATGCATAGTTCTCTGTTTGTAGATTATGTACTAGGACAAATCAAGCAATGATTATAAGGATTCGTAGAAATGATATATTAAATTGCTATGTATAGGCTAACTAAGAGCATTTTAAAATAGTTCAACTATTGATATTACAGTACAGAAATGTTCATAGCTTACTCTATTCTGTTCAGCCATATATATAAGCAGCTTGACAAAACTTAGCCTCCACTGAATGAGTTTAGAATCCTGTAGTTTCGTATTTTCATTGTGATGGCATTTAATGTTGCCGAAAGATATGACACTTGGGCCTAACTCAAACCTAAAGTTCTCTCACGAGGGGACGTTTGCCTAAGCCAATATAAGGAGACCACTTAGTCCATTTCCAACCGATGTGGGGAATCTAACTCGAGCAGCAGCAAAGATCGAGACTGGACAAGCATTATATGTGAACCACCAGGGTTCATGGGCTAGTAGTGAAAATGTCGTGGACATTCTGATTGTAACCTTCTATTTCATGAGATTTTCTGTCTCTAACTAGATGTCCAAATGCAGAGCAAGACCAACTAGACTTCAAAGAAGAAGTGGACAAGTTTGGTGAGAACATCATAAAACCAGCTTCTTCTCCAAGCGAAAATAGAGATCCTTCGTTAGGTGAACATGGACGCACTCCCTCAGACGTTCTTGAATGTGTCAAAATTCAAAATACATCCGACAATCCAAAATCATCGGTAGAAAGACTATTACTTGGTACCACAGAGAAAGAATGTAGATTCAGTCAAGAAGAGCTAAAGGAAATTGAAGAAAAGTTGAAAAAGGCCTTTGTTGAGTTCTACCAGAAACTTCGCCACCTAAATCAGTACAGGTTCTAAGAAAAGGATCTAACTTGAACTTCTTAAATATCAGATATTTTGGTGCTTCCTATTCCTCTTCGACATTTATTCTGACTCTTGTTTCAATGATGAACCAGTTTTATGAACCTCTCAGCATTTTCTGTGATCCTGGAAAAATATGAAAAGGTCAGACTTCTATTTGTGAAGTAGGCATAGAAAATTGCATTCTGTGAGAATTCACAGTTGTAGTAGTACTTCTTTAGTTATCCATAATTTGCATGACTGGCTGACTGCAGATTACTTCAAGGAAAGTGATGAGATCGTACATGAAAATCGTGGATAACACCTATATTGGAAGTTCTGATGAGGTATGTTCAAATCCACTGAATCCAATCAAGGGATTTGGATTATTCACAGTTTCTTAAGTAAAAGGAAGTATGTTAAAGAAAAAGAGCATACATGTTGATAAGAAAAAAAAAAACTATTCTATGGACCAAATAGCTTACTCTTCAATTTAATTGTTTTAAGCTAACACTATTTTACCGGTTCAAAAAGTACTCCCTATGCTATCTTAAAATACATACTATTTCTAGTGTGCTGCAAATGAATGTGAAAAAGGACATTACTTGAGGGTATATGTTAAAATGTTAAAAATCCTCTTAATATTTAACACTGCTAAGTATGATGTTACAAAGACGAAAACTGTGATAAGATGGAAACTTGTAGTACCCTTGATATGTACTGCCTTAAACTAGCATGTCTTGTCTCCGAGATTTGTTATATGCACTATTATATATTCACTTAGTTTATTTTCCATGTTCTAGGTTACTAGTCTTCTGAACAAGGTAGAAGCAACAATTGTCAAGCACTTCAATTCTGAACGGGGGGACGACATCAAATTAGTAAGGCAGGAAAGGAAAAGAGAGAAACACAGCATTTGGTTTCTTTCAGGTTGAGAACTTCTCCTTTGTAAAAGATTTTACTTCATAGTTTTCGACATCTCTTTAGCTTATAGATTCATAAGACTTGTTGAGGAAAAAGATGAGGTTATCATGGCTTCTAATATATCGATCCTTTCAATGTGCAGGATTCTTCTGTGGATTCTCAGTTGCTCTAATTATGGCTATTGTGTTAATCATACAAACAAGAAAGTTATTGGACAAGGAGGAGGCTACAGTGTATTTGGATAGCATCTTCCCTCTTTACAGGTTAAGAAATTTTTCGGATCTTCAAATAATCCGCGTTTAAAATGAAAGAACACAGCTAGATTCACCTACTTATGGCCTATGTTGCTGTGCCTCTATCGGATCCTTGAAAAATGCACTACTTTTGGAGGATATGACACATGCTCCCGACAGCATTGTTTGAAAAGTCCGAGCATCATGACTTATGACCTTCTCAGTTTTTTCCTGATACCTTAAAGTTCTCTTGCAGTTTCTACGGTTACATCATCTTACATATGCTTATTGGTGCTGCAAATATATACTTGTGGCGATGCTATAGAATCAACTACTCGTTTATACTTGGATTCAAGCCAGGAACCGAGTTAGATCACAAGGAAGTTTTTCTTTTAGCCTCTGGTCTTGCAGTTCTTGTACTCACTGCTTGCCTGGTACAGCTGCATATCAGGATGGACTCGAGGATCCAAGAGCATGAGACATTTGTTGAACTGGTTCCTTTGGGCTTACTCATTGTAAGATTTTATATATATAAAGTTAAATGCCAGTATAGCACTATCATTTTACATTTTGTTTGATCAATCCTCTGATTCGAATGCAGGGTTTAGTTCTCATATGTCTGTGTCCTTTTAACATCATCTATCGTTCAAGCCGTTTCTTCCTTATTCAGAGTCTATTTCGTAGCATTTGTGCTCCTTTATACAAGGTGGTTGATTCTACTATGCTAGAATTCTATACACGTAGAGTATACGACTTTTGGTTGAATTTACTAGTTGATAGTTTTCTTCTGCAGGTCAATATGATAGATTTTTTCCTATCAGACCAGCTAACCAGCCAGGTTTCTTACTTTATTGGGCCATTATTAGGTGATATGGTTCTTGTTTTTCTTAATTTAGATTTCTGACCTTTCTTCTACATCTTCTTGACCTCAGACACAAGCGATAAGAAGTTTCGTATACTACATTTGTTATTATAGTTGGGGAAAATCCTCTACAGGACGAAAAATGTGCCACGTTAGTGATGTGTATATCGTTTTCTATTACATTTCAGCTGCGATTCCTTATTGGATTCGCTTCTTCCAGGTACTTAAAACATTCATCATGATCTCTATATTTGCATATCTGCGTTTACTTGGTTGACGGTTGACCAAATTAATGTGCAGTGTATGCGACGATTAATAGAAGAGAAAGAGATGAAGCATGGATTCAACGGTTTCACCTATTTCTCGATGCTACTGTCAGTTGTCTTTCAGTCTACATTCAGACTCCGGAAAAAAACGACTTGGAAAGTGTGGGCTTTGGTTAGCTCAGGCGTTGCAGCTCTGGCAAACATATCTTGGGATATCAGGATGGACTGGGGTCTTCTTCAAATGAAGTCAAGAAACTTTCTTCTGAGAGATAAGCTCTTACTACACCATAAAACTGCATATTATATAGCTATGGTAAAGTTTCCAAGTTAATGAAAGCACAGATAACCCTGTCTCTTATTTGCTAAAATCTAATATTTTTCCTACACATTTGATGGTAGATTCTTGAGGTTCTCCTGAGATTTGTATGGCTGCAAGTAGTATTGAGTTTTGACATGCGCCCACTACGTGGTAAAGTCATAACAAGCACATTTGCAAGCTTAGAAATTCTTCGTCGAGGCATTTGGAACTTCTTTAGGTAATTTTACTGTCCCCGAAATAATACAATGGTATATCTTTTCTTCATTGGAACATAACAGAGGAAAGAAAATGGATACGTTATAAGTTATGACTTCTCTCTCAGATTGGAGAATGAACACTTGAACAACGTTGGGGAGTACCGAGCATTCAAGTCACTCCCACTGCCCTTCATTACAGACGACGACAAGGTTGGCAAAAATGAGTAGGATGACTCGAGTCTGCTTAATACCTGTTCTGTTTCATCAAAAGATGAATGTGTAATAGCTTAGAGTACCCTTTTCTGTGAGGGTGGTATACATTTTCAAGTATTGCTACTATGCAAGAATTCACATTCATACTGCAAAAAGGAATAAGAAAAGACAGAGGGGAAGAAATCTATATGTACATCTGAACATGCATCTTTATACACAGATTTTTACTTGGTGATATACTGAATATCTCATGCCAATTCCTGTTTCTTCTCTTTTTGCACTTTCAAGTAACTACAAACGATCAATCCTCTCAGAGGTTATCATTACTAAGTGAGACAACTTTGATGGTTACGATCATATATTTCACCCTTGATTTATCATCTACACCAGTGAAAAGAAACATAAGAAGGGGAGAAGAGCTTCATTCATCTCACTCCATCTTCAGTTGGTGTACTTCCATGACATCCCCCGGTGCACGGTGGTGGTATTACCATTCTTCTTTTGATTTCAGAGTGCTCGGCTGGATTTTCTTGAACTTCTCAAAATAGTTGCTTCCATCAGAATCAAAGTCACAAATGGTACTTTGTCCTGGCCTATTTTCCTCATCAAGGTCCAGGATAAAGGCATCGCCTTCTAAAGCACGAACTACCTGAACAATAAGAAGGAAGGTTTTGGTTTATAAACCCCTTTAAAGAAATCCGCCAGCACTAACAGAAAAAGAATTAAAGAAGATGTTATTACTTGACTCATCCGCGGTCTTCTCCGTGATGAATGACGCACACAAGCAGCAGCACAAGCAATCATGTTAGCCATCTCTTCACTGTTATAATTTTGTCCCAAACATGGATCTACTAGGGCGTCCAATTTTCCATCATCCAATGCACTTCTAAGCAAAGGCCTTGCCTGTGTATCAGAAAGAGTCTTCTTATGCTATGTACAAGTGATATACTATAAGAAGAGGGTTGACAACAATGATATCCATATCTTTGAAAATGCATTTAAGCATCGGCCTAGAGATGCTTCTAGTTCCCAAAATATTTTGTTATTTTGCTACAAGAAACCAATATGTTGATCAAGAAATTTGTGTACATCCAGTTAATAAACGACACTCAAAAAGTAACTTAATCAAAAACCAAGAATATGAAAACCAGAAACTACGGTAATGATTCCTACTACAAAATATTGTATTTGATGACGAGGTTATAAAAAAAAATGCCCCGGAAGAGATGTAAAGTTAATTCTGATTAACTAAAGTGACATAACTAATTCTGTCTGTGAGTAGGCCGCATGCAAGAAGCTGCTAACTCTGAAATCCGTCTTTCTGATCTCAATTTCGAATTAACTTATGTAATTAATTCTGATCAATTGTGGGACTTAAGTAGAACCAACAGTAATAATCTTTGAGATCAACAAAACGATTCCAGGAACCCATATCTCCAAGATTTCCTAAAAAGGGAGCCTTATTTTGGGAAAATTTGATAGATTATGATATCAAATTCATGGTGAACTCCATGCTTTAAGACTGAAACTTTGGACAAACTAATAGTTGTAAAAGATGCAACAGAAAACTTGAGATATGTTCCATCATCAAAACGGGCGTCCAAAAGCCAAATCATTTGGTACAAGGATGACAAATTTCTTTTAAAAATTTGTAAGATGGACGTGAATTTTTATGCCTTTGGCTTGACAGAGATGAACTTTTCAAGAACACCAGATCCTTTTGATTTGCACATTTCTTTTGTACAAGGACAGTGGTCTGCCAAATTCTGATTTTAAGCCAATGTTTTTCCATGGTTCTTTTTTTAAGTGATTGATTACTACAAACAACAACAACATACCCAGTGAGGTCCCACAAGTGGGGTCTGAGGAGGGTAGAGTATACGCAGACTTTACCACTACCTCGTGGAGGTAGAAAGGTTGTTTCCGTGATATTGATTACTGCCGTGATAAAATTTCTCAACCATTTATCACTCGCAAAAAAGAAAAACAATAAAGGATAAAACCACCCAGTACTTCTAAAACCACAAATGATAAACCTTCCAGAGGATCAAGATCTCTTATAAATAGAAAGGCCACCTCAGAGAATTGCATAAGCTGTGCTTGCATGTTCTGCCTCAGATTAAATACAGTGCATACATAGCTAATTAAGGATAAGATTATAGTAAGATGAATGTTATTCCATATTGAGGATTTGATTAGTGTATTTGGACAGAAAGTAAATTTAAGCATTATGCTATTTAACCAGTTATAAAGGTTGCACACAAACGTTTTACTCATGCATCTAGTTGAACATTAGTTTTAGGCACTAAAGAATGCTGAATAGCGGTCAAGAAAGTGGAACAGTTAACATACCCATATGACCAAACTGCTGCATGCGGAGGATTCAGTTGAGATTATAGGTGGACGCCCTGTAATTAACTCCAGGAGCATGACTCCAAAAGAAAAGATGTCGGACTTATCTGAGGTCTTTCCACTCTGTGCATACTCTGGGGCCAGATACCTGCAAGACGTCAGTTTTATCAAATACATGAAGAAATTGTGATCAGGAAATGTAGGTTTTACCCTGTTAGTTTTTACATGGTCCATCTACCTGAAGCTGTGTAATCCAGAAATCATTACTAATCATGAAGTAGCTTAAGTTCTACAGTTTCCAAAATCCAAGCCCCTCTCCTTAACCCCCCAAACCCCCTCTTTCCCCAATCAGTATTGGTAAGGGAAAATCAAGGACTAAGAAGCCCAACATTTTCAGACACGGGAAAACAGCAGTAACATCCCATGCGCTCTTCTCATCCTCCGACTAGCAGGAAAACTTCGGTTATAACGCTGAGAGGAATCACTGCATCATGAGCAGATTGACCTAAAATCGAGATCATGCAAGTCATCAATGTCTTTAAAATCCCCAGATTTGAGAGTCCCATTCTAGCTCGATTTTCTATAGGTATCTGATATAGATATCAGTTTGCAAGTTGGATGAAACAAAGTTAACATGGGAAGGGCATAGCCTATGCTACGTATGAGGTTAGCCCAAAAAAATGAATATTAGTAACGCTAGAACAAGGGAAGCACCACTTTTTACTTGATAAAAGTAGAAGAGACTGGTCCACTCAGTATGGTGACCTGTATATAGTAATTTTGCTTGATCTAGTCAATTTTTTTCCTTCTGATAACTAATTCATGGTAGCAGAGACAGGGTCAATAAAACTCACCCAAACGTTCCCACCACTCTAGTGGAGATATGACTGACATGATGGTTTGAATCAGATAAGAACTTGGCAAGTCCAAAGTCCGCAACCTGGATACAAATCAAAGTTCCCATTCATGTTAAATAACTTACGAGGAAATATGTTCTTAGTTGTCACATGAAAATTAAAGAAACAAAAAACAGAATCAATAATGCAGTTAACATTTGCACCTGAGTAGATGCTCATTTGGGTTCAAATTAATCTCATCATATGGATTTTATTGTTAAGAACAAAAAACTATTTACATCAACAGCGGATTCTAGGTGTACTCAGAAGCCAGTTGTCGATAATAGAAAACAGCCCGACCTTTCTTTGATAGTAAAGATAGAACAGAAAATAGTTCTCAAAAAAAAATAAAAAAACAGTTCTCAAAAAAAAGAACAGAAAATATAGTGGCAATACCAAAAAGCGAAACACAAAGTTACCTTAGCTTCAAAGTTAGAATCAAGAAGAATATTAGCTGCCTTGATATCACGATGAATGATAGTGGGGTTACCTGCAGCCACAAGTTAGTATCTTCAGAGAACGATTACCTGTGGTTGCTACATCAAAAGAAGTGATATTTATTCTATTCAAGCTAATTCAAGCAACCACAATTAAATTGTCCTACACAGCGCAAAGATACGTTGACATCTATATTAAATTGGTAGTAGTGGAAGAAAATATACTAAAACTATTTGATTTCATATTTGACAGGAAAGAACATGGCATATAAATTATATGGGGAAAGTACAGTTTGCCTGATGCATATTCATGTTATATCTTTCACAATTTAGGAATTATTATGGCATTCTGCTATCCATTAGCAGACCCTAGAACCGAGGTATTCAGCTCTCAAATCTCGAGGAGATTCAGAAATGGTATTATAGAAGTGAGGATCAATGGTATTTATTGGGAGGGAGAAAATTAGATTTACATCCTTTTCAGGAGAAAAAGTGAAGATAGATATGTGATGAAAACCATTATGCTACCCAACTTGTCACAATCTACAAACACACTAACAAGAGTTCCCTTTGGAAACATGTTCAACATTGTTAAAAAGCATCCAGGCCACTTAATATTCAATTTACCCCTTTGGACACCTCTAGTCAACTAATGGACGAACATGCAAATTAAGAACAAACATAGGAAGCCAAGACAGAGATGAAGCGCACTCACAGTCTTCATGCAGATAAGCCAATCCTTTGGCTGACCCTATAGCAATTTTCATTCTAGATGCCCATTTCATCGTGGATTGTGCCTCCCCTGCATATCATACAATCTGTTCTAAATAGCATCTTGGTAGAAAGACCTTTATATCAGAGGAACTTATGGAAACTCTATTCAATCGGATATTTAGAAGCGATCAGAGAAGTATAAACTGATACAAGAGCATTTCTGTAAAACAAAAGTTCAAAAGAAAACATGCATCAGGGTGGATAGGAACATTCTTTATACAAACCTTAAAACAGATGATGAAACAAATCACACATCTAAAATGTGGCACTTATGAAAGATCTTCCATCAAATGTACCTCACATGAAGTGTGTTAAAATAATACACCATAAGGGTATAGAAAAGTATGTGGAAAATTGCAAATGAAGTGCCTGGGACAGCAGAAGTCAGAAGATATTAAATGCTGGTCTTTCCAAAAGCATAGAAATAGCAGTGCTTTACCATGCAAGATTAAAGGGCTTGGGTTACCGAAGTAGCATGTATTTGCAAGCTCTTCTTTTACCTTCTCATGTTAAAAACCATGGTTTGATGAAATTCTAGGCCACCTTTTTGTGGTATAGGCATATACCACGAGGAATCTTACTTAAAAGGCTTGGTTAAGTACCCCCTTAAAGATTGTCC